TGGTTGTGATAATCACCCCCTGCTTTTGTACGGTGGATTTCGTTGTGTATAGATAGAGCCATTGAAGCGTGAACTAAAGAGCTCAGAACTGAGAACTGGATAGCTTTCAAACGTGATGGATATGTTTGTGATAACCAACAAGGAGCACTGGATAGCCATTTCGTCCAGTTTCTGACTTCCGACCCGAACGTTCGAGATTTGAGTCCTGATACGGGGATACAAAAGGTACGCACTGCTGACACGAGTCTCGCAAAACAGGACGAAATCGCTATCCCGGTGCTCTGTGTTGAGTATCACAAACATTTCCATCGCATTAAAATATATACAAAAGGTGGAAAATTAACGATCTCCCTACACCCAAGACCATCAAGAGTGCTCGGTGTCTCTGATAGATTGAATGGGATAATGGAAGTTTGATACTGAAAGCTGGACAGCTGTTTAAAACTGATTGGGTTTCATCAGCAGTGCGCAAATCCATCAACTCCAAAATGGGGCTCGAACTCGGAACCTCAAAGGTAGAACGCAAGTATACTACCTACTGACAGTATTTTATACTCTGCTTGGATTGTTTCACGTGGGTAATGGAGAATTTGGTTAAATTTCAAATGGGAATTCGTCGTGTATATAGCAAATGAAGTGTGAACTGAAAAGCTTGGAAGCACTGGACAGCTGTTTCGACCTGGTTGGGTCTGATCAGCAGTGCGAATCCATCGACCCGACTGGGGATTGGACCCGGGAATTCAGATTGTACAATGCATTTTTACGAGTGGTTTCAGCTATAAGAGAATCAGTCATCTTCTAACGACCAACGTTTTCCACGAACCGGTATTACGCAATTAGTCAAACTTCAATCGATTTCATCATTGACGTTGTACGTACCGAGTTGAAGTGATTCTCGCAATGGAGGCGATACGGATACTACATAGTACAATAATTTGTTTATCATATTCCCGCCCCCACCGGTCAAATACGACATATCAATGATAAGGTATGTGTCTCCTGTTCAATATTCCATCTATCCGAGACCGAAATTGAATAGAGTGAGGTGGAAGCGTTGTTCACAGTTGTTTCATCCACGCTGGCTATCCGCCACCTCCGGGAGTGAGAATCAGGAGAAATCGAGTGAAGCGCGTCGATTACGTGGCCTTGGAAACTCAATCTGGAAGCTGCACAATGTTTAGGACGTAACACTGAGTAGCGTTTAGCTCCAGAAAGAGTTAACCTCTTGAACGTGATTCTGGTCACCGTATTGAGCTGTTGCGTTTTCCGCAGACGATTTCTAAATGAACACAACAGCTGTACCAGGTTTCCAATAGGTTTTAGACTTGTCTATGACTAGTAGATACCGTATGTTGGATCAATTTCTAAAGGGTAACGGTTAAATTTATTATAGAAATCAGAATCTTTGCAGAGCAACAATAATCACAATTGCAATCCGATATTCCCCGACACGGAGACGTGAAATGAAGGGCACAGAATGAGCGGCCAGTCTAATTGGGAGAATTAACGAATCTGATTGGTCCAAAATCCTAGCTCCCTATTGGTTGACGTGAAACTGTAAAAGCTTTTGTTCCCTGATCGCCAGTTTGTGAAAAAAAATCAGCTGC